AAGGGTGTGGGCCGGACGCCAGGCCTGAGGCGGAGGGCGGAGCATGGGGCCGTGGGCGTGGCTTGAGTGAGTTCTGTGGGGGTGGGGGACGGTCACGGTCACGCCCCGTCTGAGGCCTCGCCCTGCTTCCTTCCCCGCTGGGGTGTTGGGACAAGATGCAGCCAGCCCATCGGGACCGCCCCCCCCCAGGCCACCCATAGCAGGGAGAAGGCAGCCTGGCCACGTCACAGGACCGCAAGAGGTCATGGACCCGACCGGCTGCCCCAGGCACGGCTGGTTTTGTGTAGGGGGGGCTCTGAATGGAGGGCCACTGTGAGGGTCTCCGGGAGCAGGGGGTCGCCCGCAGCACTTTGGGAAACATACCCATTGACAGTGACCGTTTCCTACGAAATGTGCCCCTCACCCTCTGCCAGCCCAGATGCATTCTGCACCTTTTCTCAGGCTTGGGGCACGCCCGGGGTCCGGGTGGGGTTGGCTCTACTTGTCTTTCTTCGCTAACGAGAGAAGAGGGAGGTGTCCACTGGCGGCGCGGCGGGGGTGGGGAGGGGACTTTGGGGGCCCCTCCACTCAGTCGGAGGCCTCCCAGAATGACCTACTGTGAAAGGAATGTGTGCGGGGAACCCCGACTTCATCCCACTCAGCCTTGAAGCTGCTACCTTATCTCTTAGCTGTGAAATAACGCTGGAAAACCCCACCCCTACCCCACAGTGAGCCCTCCTGACCTTACAAAGAAGGGGGTGCCCACCCTGAAGCGAGTGTCCCCGCCTGGGGGGATCTAGACGGTGAAGGAGGTTGACCGCCAACCCGACTCTCTCCTCTTGGTGCCCGGAGTAATGCGTCTGTCCCGCGGTGGACTCTCCGGGAAAATAGTCAGTGGGACTGTGAGGGTCAAGCCTTCCTTGGCCACCGGAGCCAGAGTCCCCCCTCCACCCCCCACCCCCCCACACACACCAGCCTGGGAGACCCCGGTCACAGGTCCTGCCTGGCAGCCAGGTGGCAGCCGTGTCTCACCTTCTCACACAGCATGGAATCATGGCTCTAGGTGACCTTCCGTTTGCCTTATCGGGTGGCTTCCTAGACGCCCATCCTAGCCAGCCGCAGCCTCTCCAGACAGACCTCTGAGCAGAAACCACAGCCACCCTTCCATTCTGAAGTCCATGCTCAGCCCACTGAGCGGGACTGGCCTGTTCCTTCTCCCCAGCCCCTACCCATCCTCCTCTCCCCAGCAGGAGTGAGCACCGCGGCAGGGACGATGTCATTGTAGGAGGAGTTGTTTGGGGTCTTGGCCATTGTCAAGCCTGCCATTCCTGGTGGGTGCCGGGAAGGGGCTTGAAAGTGCCTCTATTCTGAGGTGTTCACGTGTGGACTGGTTCTGTCTGTGAGCATGTGAGTAGACAGAGGGACACCCAGATGTCCGACTTGTGAGACGAGGGGAGGGGATACAGTTGTTGCCCTGTGTCCCTCTGGATTCCCCGTGGGCTGTGACAGTTCTGCAGGGGCATGGCCCCACTGCCAAACCCTCCTGTAACCCTCAAAATGTAGTTGCCCCACCTCTGCTGCTTTACCTATCCTGAAGAAAAACCCCCTCTGCCCAGAGCTAGCACACGCCTGTTCCCGTCACACACCAGGATGGTGGCTTATGTCATGTGCTCAGACAGTTGTCCCCTCCTACAGCCTCTGGGGGGGTGATGAGCTGATGTCAAGGTGATGGATGGGCAGATGGTCTCAGTTCACCCTCCCTCAGTAGCAGTGCTGCCCCTCCCCCGCACACCCTTCTAGCACATGGTCCAAGGACAAAGCAGTGGCCCAAATGGGAGTGGATGGGTGGGACCCAGACCCACAGCCTTTCACACACCACCCCCCAGGGGTCCCTGCCATGAAGCACTGCTCGGCCGCAGCAGCCTGCCGCCCACCTGCCCACCCCAAACGGGCTCCTTGGCAAAGCCCTCCAGCCCCGGCCCTGGAGGAAGAGGATTGATACGGAC